ATTTTGTAACGACCCGAAATTTCTAATTCGGAAGCTAATTACTAAGATAGGCCCCAAATTCATTTTCTTAGCAAATTTCACTAAAAGATTAATCTCAAGTATTTTATTATGGCTGCATCTAACTTTCTCGTTAGACTACCTACATACCCTGCTAAGGGATCAAGCCATTCGTAGTTCACATTACGCTTCTAGAACAACACACTAAAATTTCATTTTGATCCAACGGTTGGATCTGTCGACGTTTTAATTTACTAACTTGCAAATCTAATTCGAAAAGATCCGTACTTCCGATTCCCGATCCGTAAGTTCCTAAGGTCCTCAAATATTATGTACTATAATGTATCAAAATTTGGTGGCAATCCAACGGTTGAATGGTCATCAATTACGAAAAATTGTACAGTGGTACAATTATCCGAAATTTTTGAATATTCGAATCATCGCATCAAATTTCAACGAATGGACTTTGGATATGGGCTCAGGACATCAAGAATGTCCTGCTGTCCAAAATCCATGTAAATAGATTCTCCCCCATGCGCCGCCACATGAGCTACCGCGCATGGTGGTTTCCGGTGACCGGAAACCCACTTTTTCTTCTAACTCCAAATTCTACCAAAATTTACAAGAAGATATAGCTCAACAAGAGGAACAAGTTTTATACCTGCAACAAAGTCCAAAAGTGGACGGTAGAGGGTCAATTCCGCTAATAAAACTGGCAGGTGACTAAAGCTTCCCGGTGTCAATTTATCGCCCACGGTGGTCCAACAGGATCAAACCTGGTCGGGATATACTCCTAGGATGATGGGCTAAAAAACCCAAGTGGTGGCATCGGCCATCGCTTTGCCGATTCACCGAAAAAATGAAAAGGATGGCCGGAGCACCATTGGTTTTCATCGATTTTTATGGCTTCACACCGCCACATAGGGTGGCTAATCAAGGTGGTTCTTTGGTTGGATTTTGTAGAGGGGAGTGAGAACTTCAACATGGTGGTGGTGGCGTCGAAAAATTCCACTTGAGTTAGCTGGAATCGACCTCGGAAAATGGGAGGTCAAATGGGGGTTTTTCTGGGTTATTTGGGCCTCATCACTAGGTTTCTTGAAGTGGAAACCTACTAATTTAGGCTAACTAATTATAGACTCCCTACTAACAGTAAGTCCACATGTCTAAAAAGTCTCACTACTTCTGAGGCTCGTAACTTCTCCGTTCTAACTCGGAATTAGGATCTGTTTGCACCTACGCGCTCGTAGGGTTGTCCTCTATTCAAATATATTTATAAATACAATAAATTATATGAGGATAAAATATGTGCTCATCAAAATTACGTTTAGTCAACGAGAGACATTTTCGTCTTTTCACTTTCCGATAAAAAAAATCCATATAATCATATATTTTAAATTTTTCAGGGTATTACATTATCTGCCCCTGAAACCTAGGTTGCAGCGATTGTATATGTCAACGCATACTGCCACGGACATGAGATGGCATAAGAAAAAGTGGGTTGATGACGATGTCCTAAGGCATCCTACAGATGGAGAGGCATGGAAAGAGTTAGATTGAATGTTCCCTGATTTTGTTATTGATTCTCATAACGTTAGATTGGGACTTGCCACTAACAAATTTAATTATTGTCGTATAATTTTCCGTCATGGAAATGTATGAAAAAATAATACATGATGATGACTCTATTGATAACTAAGGATCCTGGTAAGTTAGATTGAATGTTCCCTGATTTTGTTATTGATTCTCATAACGTTAGATTGGGACTTGCCACTAACAAATTTAATTATTGTCGTATAATTTTCCGTCATGGAAATGTATGAAAAAATAATACATGATGATGACTCTATTGATAACTAAGGATCCTGGTAAGTTAATCGATGTATAATTACTGTTGTTGGTGGATGAGCTAAAAGATTTATGGACACATTATCATATCGTTTTCTTTTGGCAGGCTTCTCAGAAACTTGAAGAAAAGTGTACGAAACCCCGAAGGATCCATTATACAAGCTTGGGTGGCATATGAGGCGCTTACATTTTGTGGAATGTATTTAAACGATGTTGAGACAACTTTCAATCATCCTCCTTTCAATTTTTGCCTAAATCGCTCGACCATTCGGAGATCCGATTTGTGGCGAGTCATTTTCCAAGAATGACATGGAGGTAGCACATTGGTTCGTACTCAACAATTGTGACGAGACACTGTCATACCTAGACGAGCATGAAAATATGATGAAGCAGGCACATTCTTCACATATGTATACCAAGAAACACTGTGAATTGTTTCCGCAGTGGTTTGTCGAATATGTAAGGTTGAAGTGTTTTGTATTGGACATATATATTGTACCAATTAAATTTGCTCGAACTAACAAATTTAAATGTTTGTCCAATATTAGGTGAATCAACTGAAAGCATCGAATTCCCCCGTGTACAGTGAAGAGTTATATAACTTGGCATTCGGACTGATTTACGTTGAATTGTACTCAGGTGCACGGGATGACAAGTTGTGTACGCAAAACAACAGTCTTCATGTCCCCAGGGGAGGTGAAAGTACATACATTGAATTCTATGTCAAACTAATAAGTGTCGTGTACCAAGTGATCCTATTTAAGTGTCGATGGTTTGATACAAACCCAAATAGGCATGGATGTGTGAAAATAGATCATAGATTACTATTAGTGAACACTATCAAAACTTGGTATGATGACGACCCTTACATCTTAGCAACCATGGCAAAACAAATTGTGTATCTAGATGACCCTAAAGCCGGGAGGGGTTAGAAAGTTATTCAGAAGATGGATCATAGGAACGTGTATGCTATACCAGAACAAGACCGTACCAACGACAACATCGACAATGTTACTGACCAATGTCTTGAATCTTCAATGGAAAGTGGTGCGGAAACACTCCAAGATACTAATCTTATCCAAGAACCATTTTAGATAGAAGGAGTATCTTCAATCGAAATACCGATTCAGTCGATCACAATTGACCTCGGTAATATTCCACGATACGATGGTCCAGTGTGCACAAACGACGATGGTGATGTACCTATCGATGATGAGGAATGGGACACTGAAAATGATGATAGTGACGAAAGTGAAAGTTATTATAGTTCGGATGAAGATTAAGGCAATTTATTTGTAACTTTTTTTGTAAAACACATAAAATGGTTAATGCATTATATAGAGTGAGGAAAAAAAATGGTATGAATGATTCCCATTTTATATCTGAATTACTTTGTAAAAAAATTTGTTTTATTTGTATTTCATAATAAATTGTAAACAAAACAAAACAAAAAAAAAAACCAATTTAAAACATAATTGGGCGATGCATAAAAAATTTCGGTCAGGCAAGCATTTTAATTTTACACGGGATTATTGAATTTTCAGACACTTGAGTGACGAATACATATGTTTCATCACGCAAAGTATATTTGCGCAATGAAATATATGTATTCGTCACGCAAGTGTCTGAAAATTCAATTAAGGCGCTTTTTTTTCATGGAAATTTTAAAAAAAAACTTGCACGACGATTGTTTAGCCTTGTGAGACAAAGCCTCCGTCATGCAAGATTCTACATTATTAACCCCATTTGTCTTGTCCCTCCCTCACTTCCCTCTTCTTCCTTTTTTCCCCGCGCAATACGCTATCTTTCCTTCCTCTCTATCTCTGCCCGTCTCTCCTTCACTCACCTCGTCTCTCCGTCCCTCTCTTAGGCCGTCGCCGCTTCTTCTCCAAGAGGTAATTTCCTCTTCAGTTTTTAGTTTCAATTTTGTTTATTGAATGGGGGTTAGAATTAGGGTTTTTATTTTTTCAAATTGGGGGCGGTGGGGTTAGATTTAGGGTTCGTAAATTGGAGGTTACATTTAGGTTCTTAAATTAGAGTTTTTAGGGTTCTTAATTGGGGTTAGATTTAGGTCTTAAATTAGGGGAACGATTTTGGGTAGTGAGGTTAGATTAGGTTTTCTTAAATTAGGGGTTAGATTTAGGGTGCTTCATTGGGGGTTAGATTAGAGTTCTTAGATTAGGGGTTTTTTAATTTCAAGTACAGGGTTCGAATTAGGGGTTTTTTTTAGTTTAAGTACAGGGTTCTTAAATTAGGGATTTGTTAATGTTTTCCTGTGTTCTATGCATCCACAACATTGCACTTACACTTTTCGCTGTCCAACAACCCTTTTATTTATTTATCTTTATATTGTATAATTGACCTTTTTATTTCTCTTTTATTACGATTAGAGGAAATATATTTATGTTTGTGGTTTTTATGTTGGAATTTAAGATATTGTAGGATGTGTTCTCTATTGTAGGTTTGAAAGAAAAAAATTGAATTACACTGTACATTTGTGGAATAAGTTTTTAGATATTTGCATTGTTGACTGCCATGATTTCTTGATATATAATGGGGTATTAGCCTTTGTTGTTGCCTTATTAATATGATAGACTCGGTTGTGTTGCTTGTTGAATTCGGCCTCCCAATAGTCATGAATGGATTCTCTCCTGGGTCTGGCTATACTTAATTCACCAAGAAGGACAAAAAATGGGAAATTTATATGTAAAATGTCTTTTCAGCCAAATAGGGCAATGTCATGGTGATTAGGTATAACAAACCAATAGGATCACATTAAATCAAATGAAATCTGTTTGTGAACTCCATTATTATTATTATTATTATTCAAAGATATGGGAACCCACATGATATAAGCAAATCTGTATTTAACTAGTACATAATGATATGCTATCTCTCACATTGTTAGTTTGTTGTGAGGTCTTTATTTAAACATAAGGTAGTAAGGATATCCAAGGCACCTCACATTTGTTTGGTTTTAGGTAGTAAACTTGTAAGGTTGTCCTTTATGCTAGTTTCTTCTTATAAGTTATAATTGTTAGGTCTATATCCTATCTGAATTGATTAGTTTGTGTATAGTATATTAGTTTTAAGTTTTGTTTCTGCCAAACTTGAATTGGGTTTAAAATTTGGGTTTTTAAATTTCGTTTTAAATTTAAGTTGAAATTATTAGCATGTGTATGGTAAGTTAAATCTTTGTGTACGAAACAAATTGATTTTCAATTTTGTAGATGTCACACCTCATTAGAACCCAAAGGGCGATGACTTCTACACCTAGTCTGACAGCTACACCTAGTCCGACGACTACACCTACTATTGCCACCACTGCTCCGGCAGAGATGGACCATAGGCCGGCCAATCCGGTTGACCCAGTTGGTCCTCCAGTCCCACAGGCGCAGGCATCGTCGACTTCTTCAGTGGTGTTGCCTGTTAGCGCTCGATTTACTCACCGGTACCCCCGCACTACGAACCAGACGTCACCATTGGGATCCATAATCGATGCCTCGGGTACACGGCCAAGTATACAATCCTAATTCACTCCCTCATTCCCATGTTAATTGAGTTTTGTTATTTTAGGTTCAATTTGTTAAGTTATGTCATGTATGAATTAAAAAGTTTGCATTGTTTTCTCTTTTTTTGTTCGCAATTTCTTCGCTTTCATAAATGGGTTTTGTCATGAAATAGAAATTGTGTGTATTCCGTAATTCATGTTTGTTAATTTTTATGTTTTTGCAATTTTTTTGTTAATTTATGTGTCATTTCTTAGTTACTGAAATGGGTTTCTCACATAATTGAAAAGGTGGTGCTGTGGAAGAGATTTGATGCTGAGGAAATGGCCAAAATGTTTAACTGGGAAATGAAAACCTTGGTAATTATCATGAAGCTAAGTTTTTACAGTCGTAGAAGTTTCGGTTGTGACTGTTAAAGTCTTAAAAATGTCAACGTGGATGAGGTTATATGGAATTGTTAGAGTCTTAAAAATGTCAATGTCGAGAGCCTGTGTATACAAGCTCAAAATTGGCCGTCTTAGGTGGCAGTTATCGCCATTTTTAGAAGTTTGTTGTGGTATTTGAAAACGCTCAAATTGGAAATATGTTCTAATTAGGAGAAAGAAAATAGTGGCCTCAAACAAAGAAGTAGCTGTGATGCTCAATAAGTAACTTTCAGGAGAAATAAAGGAAGAAAATGTATACGAATGTTAACTGAGTTTTGTTATTTTAGGTTCAATTTGTTAGTTATGTCATGTAAGGATTAAAAACTTGTCATTGTTCGAACCTTTTATTAAACTGTTGTGATCACTGTGTTGGATATGTATATTGTTTATGTTATTTTCAGGGTTTTGGGAAATGTTTTAATTATAGGTGAGGTTATGCTGAAATTTCAGTAGGATTTGTTATTAGTTTTGGGTTAATGATTTTTTTTTTCATCTCTTTGCAGCGAAGAAAAACACCTGGGGACCTTGTCGGCAATTGAAGACGGCAAAGGTCACCTGGGTGACCAACGGTCGTATCCCAATCGAATACGATGAGCGACATCGAGCAACACCAATAGCAGAGTAACATAGTGCATTGGCCCACAACATTGTGCATGTCGTGCGGACCTTTGCCCTATGCGGTGGAAGTCTTGGAAGGCGATGCCGGAGGAGACGAAGAACACGGTGCGCAACCAATTGTCCATAAGTAGCATCGCCTTTTTAATACTTTTCATGTAAAAGTTATATATTTATATTTATTACTGTCTTTTATTACTAATACTTTCAAAATATTTGTTATATTGCAAACAAACTACAATTTGGAGGACATGGACGAGGACATGTTCGTGTACCTCAATCGACTCTTCTCTGAACGCTACAAGCAATGGAAAAGTGACATGTTCCAATGTTTCCATCAGTTTTGATGATCCATAGGTTGCTCTCGATGAGGGTTATCCGAAGGAGTTAGAGGATCGACAACATAGTTAGGTTTGGTTTTGCGGTCATTTTCAAGAGCCGGGTGTGTTTTTAATTACAACTTCTTTCATTTTACTTTTTTGAATTTTTACTAATGTTTATTATTATTATTTTTATTTTCTTTAAGTATTACAACTCATATGTTTAGTTTTTTGTATAACAGAAGAAGACGAAGGCGAACAATATCAATCAGGAGAAGAAGACTTTTCTCCACCATTTGGGTTCAAGGCCTTTCTCCTATAGGATGGAGGCGTGATGGAAGGTATATATTACAACTTTCATTTCTAATTTTAAAATGTCGCTAATAATTTTTTTTTTCTTACTAACATTTTCCTTATCTTTTTCAATTTCAGGAGGGTTCAAAATTTTCAGAGATCGACGTCTTTGCTGACGTTTATGTTCGGCCTGGGGATGAGTTGATCGAGTCCTTTCATGTAATTAATTCCTTATGCATTCAACATTTATACTAATTATTTCAAATTGTTTTCTATTAATAATCCATGTTTTTTTTCACAGGTAACTATGGTGGAGAAAAGTCAGTCGGTGCTTCAGGAGTCCGTCTCCTAGCTTCCCTCAGATCGCCGATCGAGTCTGTGGATCCCCTTGAGGATGCAGGGTTTCACATCGTGACAGAGACCTTGGACCAAACTTTTGGTCAGAGGCCAGAGACTTATTGTCATGGGATGGGAAATACCAGGCAACGAGAGATTAAAGCATCATCATCCTCGCAGTCAAAGGCCCAAGTTACGGCTTTGACGCAGAAAGTCGCTGGCTTGAAGAGTGAGCTGGCATCGTACAAGTCTCAAATGTCGATGCTTGTACAAGCCCTCAGTTCCTCTAGAATACATCTCCCCGGTTTTTCTGCACCATCATAGCCCTTCCACACCAAGCAAGCTCAGCAATCAGGCCCATTGACCTCCAACCCCATCCCCAACCCGCAGCAAGATTACCAAGCACCTTCGAACAACATGCCTATAGATTTTTCCGCTTTTTTTCATAGTTTTGTTCCTGCTTTCTTTTAAAACTTTATATTTGTACGTACATTTTTATTTATATTATAAATAAATAAAAAATTATTCATTAATTTGCTTTTTTTTTTTTTCATTAGTATAAAATCTTTTTTTTTTTTGTTAATTTTCCTTTTATTCTTTTTTTTTAATAAAAATTACACTTGCGTGACGACGACCAGTCGTCGCACATTACCACTCGCCTCTTACATTTTTCGTCGCACAGACTTTTCGAGACAAACTAGTCACAAAGCGCACTTGTACCCTTTTATAACGTACTACGAAAACCTTCATCCGTATAACTTTAGCGCGACGAGTAGTAAAGCGTCGCGCAATTTTTTTTATGCGCGACAAATTTGAAATTGTTCATCACGCAATGTCATTTTTCACAACCTTTGCGGGACAAAATATGTGCGATGATTTTTTGGTCGCTATAGGTTTTGTGCGACCTAATAATGATTTGCTCAACAAAATCTTCCTTGTCGCGCAAACTGTTTAATTTAGTAGTGGAAGTTAAGAAACATCACAAGGTTGAGAGAAAAAAAAAGTGAGTCAAACCTGTATGCTGATATGCAAATTAATTTAGTGATAGCCAAGAAAGCAAGCACAGTCTGAAAACAAAGTAGCATGAGCTACCAACGGAAGGGAATTATGACATACCAAAGTTGGTGAAGACAAGCCCATCTTAGCAAAATTGTCCGCAACAACATTTCCTTCGCGATATATGTGAGAGACGTAGAAAGTCATATTCCGAATGCGGTCCAAATAAATAGACCATTGCGTACAAAGAGGCCAAGGAGGATCAAAATTAGTCGATTGGAAAGCAGAAATAACAATAGAATAATCACTTTCCAACCAAAGACAATGCCAACCCCGCTAATATACAAACTCTACACCAATCATAATTGCTGATAATTCTGCAAAGAAAGAGTTGCGATGGCCAATCCCTTGGCATAAACCACCAAGAAATTGACCATAGCAATCCCTGAAAACTCCTCCACAAGTAGCAGGACCGGGATTTCCTTTGGACAAAAAATATGTATTAAGTCTAGTCCAAGGAACCAAGAAGAAGACCAAAGCACATGAAGAATTATTGGCGCCTTACGAGGGATAGGCTAGATCCCCAAAGAAGAAATGATACAAGTGTCAAGACTATAGGAATAACCAGGAATAAACTTCCCACCAAGAATGACCCCAAAATTGATAGACATGCAAAGACGACGAAAATAGATTGGGTGACCCTTAAAAATAAACTTCTTTCGAGCTTTCCAAATAGCCTAAATAGTAGAAAAACCCGCAAAAATCCAAAGATTGTCCAACTGTTGGGAAAAGGGCTTACGTACGTAGGCATGCCAAAAACAACCAAAGAAATTGAAAAAGATAAAGAGGTACCGAATTGACATGCCAACCACCTCCAAAGCTGCCTAGATATCCAACAATCGAAGACAAGATGAACAATAGATTCCTCGGATTAAGACATGAACAACAAATGGACGCTAAAGAAATACCACGTCATTGAAGTGCACCTTCGGTAAGAAGTTTATCATGAAGAAGCTGCCAAGCCAAAATAGACGATCGAGGTGGGATAAAATGTCGCCAAATAACCTTAGCCCAAGCACAATCACTATGTTTTCGTAGAATAACATGATAGGCAAAAGAAAAGGAAAATTTCCCAGTAGATGTAGGCTCCCAAATCAATTTGTCATCCTTTAGATTTAAAGGCAAAGGTAGACATAGAATATGCCGCGCTACAGAAGGGAATAAATTTACAAAATAATCTGGTAAAGGCCAACTTTGTGCTTCAATAACTTTTGAAGCCCTAGGAAGAATTGTAGGTGAAATGAACGAAGATAATGAAGGGCCAATAATCAGGTTATCCAACCATTTGTCGAACCAAAAGGAAACTGACTTCCCATCACTAATAACCCAACGACTATTATTATTCAAAATAGGAAAAACAAGCTTCAACCCGTGCCACATAGAAGAATGTAAGTAGATATCTTGTTTTTTAACTCAACGTCCGTTGAAGTGCACTAAACCCTAATGTACATGAACAACCTAGCATTGTTTAGGGGGCTTAGAGTTTTATTGAAAATTTGCAACGTGTTTGTACAAAACGCTTATGAGGAGATGTGTTTTCTATAGAAGTTTTCCCAAACCATTCCGTAATATCGAGTTTTGTGTATGAGAATTAGAACGTTTGGTCCAATAGACCCTCAACACTGTTGTTGAGAAAGTCAACATGCTTAGATTAGAATCCAATCAACGTTGATTTCAGCAAATATGTTGGAATGATTACCTTCTCACTTAGTGTTAATTGTATCATTAGCCAGATATTAATTTCATGCTTTGTATCAATTGTATTATAGTAGGAATCAATTATACATACGGTTTCTTTCTTACCAAAAAAAAAAATTATACGGTTTCTTCCTGTAAATATTTGTGCATGGTAACTTTATAAAATATCAATCAAAGAAATTAAACCATAATAAATTTAATTAGTATCTTACAGGATGCAGAATTTGCTATAAGACAACAACCATGACGAATCAATCAATATTGGAGCTACCCAAGTCAAACAAGGCAGACTACTAAATGGTTCACTATATGAGTTTCCTATCTATAGTATACACAGCTCATAGTTGGCCTGGTAGCTGAGAGCTTTAGCTTGACAAATAATTGAGACAGAGAGAAAAAAAAAAAAAAAAAAAAAGAGAAAAGAATGGCTAGTCTTAGCCCACCCCCTGGACCATTTTATGACTTCACTGTCAAGGTAAATCCTTTCTATCCTCAATTACTTTATGATTAATTTTCTTAATTTGTTGCAGATTGTTGGTTTATTTCTTTTTGCATAATATGAGCGATATAACTACTCTAGTCTAAATACATTACGGGGGGAGGGGGAGGGTTTGAACGTCGAGACGTAGTTGATTAAAGATGAATGGCCTAATCACCCGGTCAATTCACCCGGTAATGAACCACTTGCAAAGATCAGTAGTTTCTTGAGTAAAGTAATTATGTGGTTTGAACTTCGAGATGCAGTTTATTAAAGATGAACGGCCTAATCACCAGGTCAATCCACCCGGTAATCTACCACTTGCGGAAGATCAGTAGTTTCTTGAATAAAGCGATTATGTTGAATGTGTTGCAATCAAAACAATAAGCATATGGGAATTTGGTATTCATTTTTGGCATGTCTTGAGAATTTTCCTTCGCCTGTTCGGATGACAAGAAAAAAAATCATACCTGAAAGGTTAAAAGTTTAAACAAATATATATTGGGAACAGAAGAAATGTTAATTTGTGTTGAACCTTTGTTGGAGATTCAGCTGAGAAATGTGATTTGTTTGTCTTGATCTTGTACTTCTTTTAATGGGGTTTTAATTTGTGTAAGTGCAGGATGTTAAGGGAAATGATGTCGATCTTAGCCTTTACAAGGGAAAAATTCTGCTGGTCATCAATGTTGCTTCCAAATGGTATATGCACTACCTTGTTTTCGTCCCTAATCATGTTTTTTCATTTTATTCTTTGATTCATTGCTCTTTTTTCAATGATTTTTCCGGCAGTGGACTGACCAACTCAAATTACGATGAGCTGAATGAACTGTATCAAAAGTATAAAGATCAAGGTTTGCATTTTGAACTTGTATGGTTTTCTTACATGTTCTTGAGCTGATATCTATGTAGTTACTTCTCCTACAAGTTGAGTTCTGACTGCCCCTCTGTGATACATGCTAATCTGCTGCTTGCTCGAAAACTTTCGAATTAATATATTGCATATGCAATGATCTAATTTTTGTTAGAAAAACATGAATTCCCTCAAAAATTTTGTTGAAATTCTACCTTTTTCCATTACTTTTCCCCTTTGTATGATAAATTACGAGGTTGATACAGGCTTTGAGATTCTGGCATTTCCGTGCAACCAGTTTGGTGATCAGGAACCTGGAAGTAACAAAGAGATTGAAGATTTTGTCTGCACTCGGTTCAAATCGGAGTTTCCCATTTTTGACAAGGTAGATCCAGAAAAGTAGATTATGTTGTATGATTGTTTCTAATTTTCCATTAGTTCGTAAAACAATGAAGAGCGGATGGTGGTTGAAGATCTTTGTGTTTACAAGTTTAAGTTCCAACTTTCAAGGATTTCAAAATCGATACATTTAGGCTATTGAAACTTTAATAGCTGAAGTTTAAAAATAAAAAAATAAAAATAAAAATAAATAAAAATAAAAAATAAAAAAAACCTATCTAATGAGTAATGAGTGCTCATTTTAATTCTATTTGAACTCTTGCAAATTAGAACTTTCACATGCGTTTTTCCCTACGGATATTTCAACTGCATCTGAGAGCTAGGATAGCAGGTATTGCAATAATGTTAGATCTTTCTTTCTGAATCCGCCCTTGTTCTTGTGTTAGATTGAAGTAAACGGAGATAATACTGCTCCAGTGTACAAGTTCTTGAAGGAAGGCATGTGGGGATTCTTTGGAGACGATATTCAGTGGAACTTTACCAAGTTTCTAGTTGACAAAGAAGGAGAAGCGTCTCACCGCTATTATCCAACCACACCCCCCCTTAGCATCGAGGTCTGTTTCACAAATTTAATCATGTTATGCTGCCTCTGTTGTTTACTGTGATTGATCATCTCGATTCATCTGTAGATTTGTCAATTTTTCTAGCCTTTGACATACATTTTCCACAGCGTGACATCAAGACGCTGTTGGGAATCGCGTAAGTAGCTCAGATGTGAAGATTTCAACATATGCTTGCCTTTTGCGTACACTGGAATAAAAGTTAAAGCTTGCTTTGTGTATGTATATTATATCAGAAGGCTTGTTAAAGATGGAGGCATGGTGCTAATTAATAAAACATTAAGCAGTTGCAATCCCTGCTTGTTTCTTAAACTTGATTAAACCATTTCTGTTCCTGATGGGATGATGGAAAATGTTTTAATTGGCAGTCAGGATTCAATCATCTTTCCTAATCTGGATATGTTTGTTATTTTGATCACAGATTGATATATAGGAGAAAGACTTAGCTGGCTCTTTTTCCACGAGATATATCTTTCATGTTAGCACTCATTGCATGACCTCGCATCATGGTGAGTACTATAAAAACTTTGAGGATATATTTCTCATTGGAGTGAGATTTTAGTTAAGGGATCAGCTAAGTAACCTTATTTGAGGGACAACCTTGTAGAGCCAACTTCCCATTGTACTTAAGGATTCCACTGCATATCTTGTCTCTCTCAAAAACCATCTCTACAAAAATCATCATAACTGGAAACAATATATCTGTTACCCTTGTAGAGCCAAGTTCACATTGTTTTTCAACAATCCAACCATGTATCTTGTCTTCCTCAAAGACCATCTCTACAAAAATATCATCATATTTGGAAACCATATGACTGTTAGATTAAATTATAATCCTTTTAGTGTTTTTTCGAAGCACCACATTCATTTATATTCGTCATTAAAATGGATGATGAGATGTGAAAGCTGAATAATTTCAAGCTTTGTATGATCAGGAGGGGAAATAAGTTCAAGCTTTGCTTTTGTGTACGTTTTACTATATCATTGTGTTGCTTCAGGACTCGTTACTATTGTAATGTGTGGTGCTAATTGCTAAAACATTATGCAATTGCAGTACCAAGCCTGCTGTTTCACAGACTAAATAAAACCATTTCTATAATTACATTTCTACTTGTGTGATGATTTACAATGACCTTATTGGCAGTGAGGATTTATGATCTCCTCTGATCTAGATGTTGGTTATTTTTAGTATGTATTTTGTTCTTATTGTGAGGACTGAAGAATTGTTTGATGTTGAAAAGTCAAGAAATCTTGCAGAGGCTTATAAGGAGTTGGACCATTGTCCAGTTAGATTTGGAGTGACACCTTAAACACCTGTTATTAACAAGATAATACTAATATTAGCATCTTCACACATGTTAACTTCCATGTCAATAAAGCTTTTCTTAAAAATAATTATATCATACTTTTAATAATCTCAATTACTAACATATTCTTTTAATTATCCATGTGGCATCACTTAACTTGTTTTGTGGAACCTACATGGGTATCACGTCAATCCACTAATAAATTTTAAGAAATTTTATTTGAACTCATCTAACATCTTTCTACACTCAACTTACTCTCTACACCCATATTATTTTTAATTAAAGAATTAATATATTTTTAAACCCAAATTTATTACCTAAAGTACCCTACCAAACCCAATTAAAAAGTATATTTATCTTTACACCCATTATAAAATAAAATCTTAAAGAAACTCGAAAGTCAAAAATCTTCTGAGTCCTTTGTCTCCCCTCCCACCTTGAGCTCTTTAGAAACAGAGCTTTTTGTTTTTCAAAATTCTCTCTGCAATTTTTTGCTGCATATTATTTGATTTTTTGATAAAGTTTCAAATTTCTACTGGAGCTGCCTACAACATTATAGCATTTTCCATGGTTGTTTTTTATTTATTTGTGTTTCGGTGTTTGTGTGTGTGTTTTTTGCTGCAATTATTTAATTTTATTTGATGAAAGAAATTCATCTAACCTGCACTCACTAACATGCACTAACCCAAGCAATTTCTCAGAAGGAAAAAAAATGTCAATCTGAACTGCAACAAATTTATAATATGAAGTTGAAGTGAAGGGTTTCGTATAGGAGGATAGGTTAGCACGAAAACAACTTTTGCTTTCTGATATGCCAAAGCCAAACAAATTACTAATACTTCTACTTTCCATAGAAAGGGTCTTATATATCAATACTTTCATTACGACTGTTGTAGAACGTTGACGAAAAAAAAATTGAAACCCAAATACTCATTTTTCTATAGTCTAAGAAAAATTGAAATCAAACGAACACAAATTTTCATAAATCGAGTTATACTTTAGTTGGAGAATTCAAAACTTTAAAATCACCATCCATCGATTTAAAAAAAAATTATTTTTCTCCATAAAAGCTATTAGGGTTTTAGTAAGAATGAACACAGGATAAACAATGAGTGATGATAAGATTTAATTATAGTGTGTGGGTTTATTGATAAATTTTATTTTTATTTTTAATTTCATTTTGTAGTTGATGGTAATTATGCAATAAGGCAAAAAGGATAATTTACATTTAAAATTTAAATTGGGTGTAGAAAGCGGTTGCATGGGTTTAAATAAAATTTCTCATAATTTTTTTATTGACAACGATGGAAAGAAAACATTGACGACCCAAAATAATAGAAGAGGACTAAATTGATGAGTTTGAAACGTAAATGAACAAACTGATGAGATGGCAAAACATGAATGACTATTTGTGATAAAACCTTTTTAAATACTATGAACAAATTTAATATATCGAATATGAAGAGAGGAAAAAACCCTAAAGCAGCATGCAACACTAAACCACGTCCACCGTTGTAAAGAAAAAGAAAGGCGGAACAGCCATCGTTATTTCACCTCCACTGTCAGGAAAAGGGAACCACCACCCCACTCTGAATTTATTTCACCTGCATCATAATTTCAAGCACTAAAGAGCTGATTTCCTAGAAAGCATCAGTTAAATTGGAGTTGTACGCTGGATTGTAGCTGATTCTGTGGCGGAGTTGATTTCCAACAGCCTCTTCTGTTGAGCGTTATTTCTCATTGGCTACATCCTCTATGGGAAACAAGGTTTCTGGCTGCTTTACAACAATGCCTCAAGGCAAGATAAATTAAGCTTATTCTGTTCTTTTCTTCTTTAACCCTAATTTAGTTTTGTACAAAATAAACCCAAAATTGCTTGCTGGATTTTGCAATTTTCGTTCACATTTTTATATTGGCTGAAAAAGTTACATAATAATTTAATCCGGTTTTTTCACTTTTCATCTACCTAATCTGCCAATTTTGCGTTTTCGCGAGGCTTTACGTTTTGTTATTTAAAAAAAATAAATACATATTCTAAACGAAGGGAGATTTCAAACACACTGCCATCAACCCAAAATAAGAATGCGATTTTCTAAACTACTCTTTAGTTTTTTTCTGAAAAGGTAAAGTGTGTTGCACAATCAACCCAAAATGAGAATGTGAAAAGGCAATGTTCATGTGTTCCTTAATTTTGCTGCTTTTGTAGCTAGCACAGGTACCTGTGGTACTTCAGAGTTGGGACCGGATTGTAAAATGCCAAGCCAACCCGATGAGTACCCAGACGGAACAATTTACGAATACACTGTCAAGGTAAGCAAGTCCTGTCTTCAATTAGTTTTTGCATTTCTCCTCTCTCTATTTAGCTGGTCAATATCACTTTGTTTGGACCCAATATCGCACCATTGACCCCATTCAATCGAGGTTGTTGAATGAATTCACGAGTTAATAGTATTTTAATATTTTTCCTAGATATTACTATTGGATTATCGTAGTAATTATCTTGTAGAAATATTTTATGAGCTTGGAGATAGGATGAAAACGAAAACTGTTGTTCAACAAGAAGATGGACTCAATGATATTCTTGTTAATTTTTTGGAGTCAATACAATGTAGAGATGACCTTCAACTCCACACACAAATCAATGCTCTACGCTAACCCTCACACTTTTGAGAAAGAAAAAAAAACACTAATTGCTTTACTGAAAGTCAGCACAAATACCGTTTGGTTAAACATATTTGGGTTCACAGATGACGGACAATGACAATCTAGTTAGACAGCGTTTCCAGAGGCAACCAGTGAAGGTGACAGTTTGGCTAAACAACACCAAGGTTGCAGAATCAGTTTTATTTTAGGAGTCTTGACGGTGTGGTTAAACAGGAGCTTTTCCTAAGTTAAACTAATTATCTATCCTAAGTCTTTGCTTGTTAAGAGTCTTTGATTCTTTCGCCTAACAAAGTGACTTCATTAGCTTTCTCGGCGAAGTAAAATGTTCCATGATTGGATATTTCCCAATGACATTCAAAGTTCATTCAAACAGTCGAACCACTTTCACCATAAAGACAATCATCTCTTTTGAGTATCTTTGTCCCTAGAGTTTGGTACCGATTCGACGCACTTATATTTTCACAAATATAGTTGAAGTTGCTAAACCTGGTGTAGAAGATTGAATTTCATAGCAAAAAGTATAATTGTATCTTCAGATTCTAGAATCCAAGGCCGGGAGTGTTCCTTCCGACACCTGATTATGAAGTCAGGAGCATATTCCATCACACTCAAAAGTATTTGCCCGGCCGAGCTCTACAGCAAATTGGCATGCCTGCATCAGCAATCAATCACCAAAAGACGTAGTTAACTCTTAGTCACTCAGCCTGACGCCACATCTATTCTCAAGAGATGGAATGGAAAATTTTGACTCATGTTTTTTGAAATGATGTGTGACGAGTGGTAAATTTGTCACACGAAAAAACAATAATGCATGCTTTTCGAAATGATGGGAAAAGAATTCTCGAGGGAAGCCAAGGGTATGAATTTCAGAGTGTTTACCAAACATTGGTATGATATCTCATACTCATTCCAAGGCTCCAATCTGCAAACCAAACGCCAAATGTTAATCTCCAAATTGTAAAACAATAATTTTGAAGAGATGAGATTATATTGGATATATACTCCCCTTTTGGAATGTTTGATAATATTCCTCAAGTGTGGCTTGGGTGCCAAGACAAAAGCATAATTGAAAGGGAGAGAAAGAAACACTGACACAACATTGGAAAAACACAAAACATATGGCTCGTTTCTTTGTTGGGAATATGAACGAAAAATGTTGATTTGTATTTGATTAAATCCATGCTAGAAATTCAGTTTAGAAGTAGTATTTTTTGTTCTTTGGTTTATAGTTCATCAGATAGTTAATAATTTATATGTTTGTGCAGGACGTTAAGGGAAAGGATGTCGATCTCAGCATGTACAGGGGAAAGGTTGTGATGGTTGTTAATGTTGCTTCCCAATGGTATTCCTCATATTCGGCTCTTCTCGCATTTATTTGTTCTTAATTTAGGGAATTATTATTAGCACTTTAAAAATTTCATTCTACACTCCTCACAAGTGTATTTTTCTTTCTAATTATAGAAAGTTTGGAGTGTAAAATGAGATTTTTGGAGTGCCAATAACAATTCCCTTAATTTATTTCTTTTGTAAAAAGAAAATAAAAACTCTATGATCATTGTTGATTTTCACTGATTTTGCAGTGGATTGACGGAGGAAAATTACACGGAGTTGAATCAACTATATCAAAAGTATAAAGATCAAGGTTTGCATTCTGTACTGTTTTGCAGCTTCAGCATATATTTCTACTTTTCTCTTTTAGTTCTTTTTTTGTATGATGTACCGGGGGTTTCGACACAGGCTTGGAGATTCTGGCATTTCCGTGTAACCAGTTTAATGCTCAGGAACCAGGAAGTAATGATCAGATTCAAGAGTTTGCCTGCACTCGTTTCAAAACAGCATTCCCAATTTTTAACAAGGTAGATTCAGAACTGAAACACTAGATTATGTCACGTCTGCATGCTTTCCAACAGCGTAAACTTACTAGAACATTTAGGCAAGCCAGAAGATTATTCGACTGGATGCCTCATGCATGTATTGTCTTTGTAAAACGGCGAACTGCATTGTAACTATAATTGTTCTATATCAGCGGTTATTTGTAACTCCCTTAGAACTTTTGCAGGTTAAGAATTTTAAATGTGTTCTTGGTCGGTATTGTAATTATTTCAGACATCTGTAAATTTACCATTTGTGTTCTCTGTGTTAGATTAAAGTAAACGGCCTTAATACTGCTCCGTTGTACAAGTTCTTGAAGTTAGGCAAATGGGGATTCTTCGGAGACGATATCCAGTGGAACTTTGCTAAGTTTCTTGTCAACAAGCAAGGAAAACCTGTCGGTCGTTATTACCCAACAACTTCCCCCCTTAGCCTTCAGGTGAAAACTTAGACATCGAATTCACAAATATAATTATGTTATGCTGCTTCTGTTGTTTATTGCAGTGATCACCTGCAGGTTTTGTCAAGTACTCTAGTTGTGTGACATTGTATTATTTTTGCAGCATGACATAAACAGGCTTTTGGAAGCCTCGTGAATTATGAATACTGTGCGATGCAAAGGCGTTAACCCGAGGGTGCATGCTCCCCGCCGGTTTCACTAATCGAACAAAACGATATCTGTTCTTTGTGTGATGATTGACATTGGCCTAGTTGGGAGTCGGGACGTAATCATCTATTCCGAACCATTGTTGACAATGACCTGTGACTCAAAAACTCACTAGCTTTATCTAGTTTACTTTAAATCTTGTAAAACACTGGTATGTTAATTGGTTGTTAGGAGTGTAAAGATGCTAATCTCGTGGACATAAACATTTGAAGAAAACTGCCCGTCTGGTGGCATTCACGAAATAAAGGTCCGATGGATATGGTCACGCCACCATCGCCTAACTCACACCTGTTTGAGCCGACGGGGGATGAGCATTCCATGTGGTGTTTTTGATTGCACTGTTGTGCTTTGGATTCGATGCGTTTTACGTTTTTCCAATCAATACAAGCAGTGTTGTCCCTAAAACACTCCCATAAGATCATAGTTTCTTAGGAGTGGTAAACATCGTAATGGTTCCAAATTGTTACACAAGGGACTGCACATCAAGATACCAGACAAATCAATGAGATTAGCGGGATGCTTGCAAGTGATTATCCAAGGGGCTATAATCACTTCTGAGGCCATAATCGCTTTTCCTCAGAACCGATGGCTCTTTTCATAATCACTTCCAAACGAGCCCCAAATGGCTTCAGACAATGCTTCATCACCTAAGTGGCGAAACACAAGTTGCTCCGAAGACAGAAAAAATGAAAGAGAGACTCATTCATCCATGCATATGCAGCATACAATTCTGCAAATTGTCATTTTTGAATCGGTTACAAACTTCAAAAGGACTTTTGATTCAAATAGGAAGTTTCCACCTAAAAGCCAAAAGAACTTCTTGCTACTGATGAGTATTTTAACCTCCACACTACTTGAAACTTCCTCAACGAGTGAATTATGTCACCCAAAACATCCCCCTGAGTTACGGATTTTGTTACAGATTATGTTAGCACAAACTTGTTTACCCACCAGTGGGTGAACAAGGGTCGGAGAGTTGCATCACAGATTCAGTTCATTTACAACAACACATATATACAAAACTGGCATGTGTCTGTTGCAGCTTATCTTCACCCTCGAGTCAAGTCAATACCGGTGTGGGCATTTCTCAAATCAACTTGCCGCGAGCCAGGCCAAATGCCTGCTCCGGAGGGATTATAATTTTGAGTTGGTGGGGCACTGCTTGGTAGACCCAATTTCTCGCTATGCTGTGCCTCGGAATTCTCATCGCTATTGGGATCAGCCAGTTGCTTGTTCTTGGTCTTGGAGCCACCATATACGAAACTGCAAAGCACAACCTGCAACAACACATGAATCAGATCTCTCAATAGGTCTCCACATTCCTTCACTACAATTAGAACTGATAAAAAGTGCTTTTAAGATCGTCCATCGTCCAATGCTAGACAAATATCACGTCACAACATGTGCATGTGCAGACAACCAGCAGGAAATAGGCATTAGCATTGAGCCTAGAAACGTTGAACAAATTATTGAGCAGTAAACAAAATACCTGCACTGGAGTTGCTGCAATCAGCACTGCCACAGCACCACCAATGACATGACCATTAGGATTAGAAAGGGAAACGCTTATTCCCCCTGTTCGATTGCGAGGTCCACCAACCTCCAACTACTGCTTGAGTCGATATTCATCCAATGCTGAGTTTATCACGTCAATTACTTGTTATCAGCTGATATATGTTAGACAACCAGTTTACCCATTAGGGTGCCAGGAAACGTTGCAATTATTGAGCAGTAAGACAAAATCCCTTGTTCTGGTCTGTTGCTTTTCATCACACTGCCAACTAGTCAAGACCAATGACCAATTGTTAGGATTCTCAAAAACTTGTAGCCTAAGTTCCAAATGATTGCTGGAGGTCCACCAATCCTCTTATCAAGAATGACAAATTTGATTGGTGGGGCACTGCTTGGTATGACCCTTGAATTTTTCGCGATGAGCTCCAGGCCTTGGGAATTTTTGGCTATTATCTGCTTTATTTTTGGATCCAGAAAAACCCCAACCTGCTTGATTTTCTTTGGTCCCATTGAATGAGATACCAGTGCCCCTAATTACGAAGCATGCAATGAGCACTTAACTGCTGATAATCAACAATAGAATAAACAGGATCTCAATTTCGATAATAGGTCATCCCACATCTCCTTCACTACAATTAGAACCTGATAAAAGTGCTTTTTTCTGATCAAGACCAATTGTCCAATGGCTAAGACCAGAACTCAACATGTAATACCACGAACTTACGTGAACATGTATAACCATGTGCATGTGAGAGAACTTAACATAGCCAGCAGGAAATAAAGGCAATATTAGCATTGATCTGCTCCCAACCAAACGTTGAGTCTGCTCCATAACTTTGAGACAACTCTCAATTACAGAAAATGAGATGTGTTATACATATAACCAACCACAAACTTGCACAATGAGCCTGGACAGCTCTTCGCAATCATAAACGTTACAACACATCACTAACTGAACTAATTTGCAACTTTGGTATTGGCAAGAAATGTTTTTATAAAATGAAAAAACATGAAGCATATCCCACTCTTGTAATTATCCGTAATTTAGATATAGTCCAACATAAAAGGAAAAGCATCTAAATTGGAATTCTTTCTTAGGCACAATAACGAGCAAAATTAGAGATAAAATTGAGTTAACCTCATATGTGACACTGACACCAGTAGATGCAGGCTCGCGTAGAGTTACTGAAGACACTGCACCATTTCCTGACAAGATGCATAGCGCCCTTGGTCTCTGTTGTGCAAACAACAATAATTTTGCAGCAATGTCCTATAGAAAAACAATAAGGAAAAAATTTTTAACAGGGGCAGGAGCTCATGTGCATTTAAGCAATAAATCAACACATAATTATCATCCAAAAGCAAGTAATCTGGTTGCATTAACCAACTCACCTATAAAACCAGACCTAAGAGAATGCTTTCTTTTGGTAACGTGTAACATTTTTATGTTATTCTCAACTCTAGAATATAAATGAGCCATTCCATTAACCTGAATATGTTGACACTGTACATGTTACTAAGGAAAACTCCTAATGCTTTAACAAAATACAGGTTACTAAAGACCCTAACAGATTATGATCCAGAAACAATCACTGCATTCCAATTTATCTGAAGCCAACTATAAACAAGGGCGCTTGGTATAGCAGTGCAGCATCCTTTTTTCTGCAGGCAAATTAAAAAAAGGGTTTTTGAACTGCTTTAAAAAAAGCTAAAAAAAACCATGCTTAAAATGACATGCAAATAATGACAAAACAAATTTTCACAAAAGGGATGTTGCAACACACTGGAAATATCAGGACAGGCTAAAGCAACTCCATTGTAGATGAAAGATGTATATACAGCAAATACACAAGTGCAATACAAGACATTTACTAACTGAATTAATTCAGCTTTAACATAAAAACAGCATACAACAGCATAATTAGCATAGAATCTCTCAGGCTCCAATATGCCACTGGGAAGACACTGCTACAGGAGTATAAACCCTAGATTTGAATAACAGTTGCCATTTTAAGCTACCCCAGCCAAAACAAGAAAATCCAGACATAATGACCAATAAGAATCTTTAAGCATAAGAACCATTGAATCAATGATCATAATTCTATAGGAACTAACTGGTCTAGGGAGAATAAGCATCATCATAACCAAAGTATGCAAGACAATAACTATAAATAACGAAGATCATCACAACTGAATAACCAACAAAGGTTCTCTGAACTATACATGTTTCATCTCTGTTGGCTTAGTGAGCGGTACCAAGAATTAATATTAGAACCACCTCATACAAATAAGCAAGATACTTAATGAACTGCGCTTTAACTGTAGAACAAACTGTAGAAGCTAAGCACAAAGTGCACTGATATTACCACATTGAGAGAGAGTTAAAACTAGCCACTAAGAGTAACACAAAAGATGTACCAAATTGTTGTTGTGTCCAGTAGCCAAGCCCAGAGCCTGCCCATCAACTACGTTTCGGGGTTCCGGGTGCCTGCTAAGTAGGTCTTAGACCTGGGAGACAAGGCCCAGGGGAGCCACATGGAGACCCGCCTCCCTCTTTTATGAGAGGCACGAAGTCACCCAGAGCCGTTCCTGCCACTCCTGTCTGAAGGCTCTACTGAGAAGTTCCCCAGAGCCAGGTCCCAGAATCTCTGCCATGAGTCCCTTCAACCACACTAGCATGCACACGCGCCCTCAACCCTAGATAGTATGGCTGACCCACCAGACAATCCATTGCACATACTAAGAGTGTCAAAAAAACCACTTTTTTGTCACCTAAAGATTGCTTCTACAAACCCTCTTGGTCAATTCTTCAGAAAAAGGAAAATTCGAACAAAATGGGGGAAAAAGTTAAAACATTATTTTCAAAAACCAAAAAAACGAGGGAATATGTAAAGGCCCTTTTTGGTTATTGGAAATCATACCCACGAAACAAGTAACCAAGTGACTGCAGAGCTTGAACAGTACGACCCCTACAGACCCATCACAGAAAATGCCCAGCAAATACCAAAATGTAGAAAATCAGGAGCTCAGGGAGCTACAGAGAAGCAAGAATAACAACCTGGCAGCTCTTGAGCCACTGCCTCAGACACGGCAACAGAACAAAACCCTAGATTTCAAATCTAGGGTTTTGACAGGAAAATGCAGGAGGTGGAAAAGGGGGAAAAAGGAGGGAGGAAAAGACAAAGGGAAGACGGGAAGGGGGGGTTGGGGTGGAAAAAATGAATTGAAAATTTGAGGTTTTGAATTAAAGTTGTGAGTGTGTGTGTGAGAGTGAGAGAGAGAGAAAGTGTGTGTGTGTGTGTGTGAACTGTGAACTACTAATTGAGAGAGAGACAGAGAGAGAGAGATAGAACTTTTTCCTTTTTCTTTAGTCTGATCTGATGAGGCCTGAGGGGAGTTGTGGTATGGTGTGGTGTGGTGTAAGTATCTCTGACTATTAGATAGGAAAGGCCTAATGCTATTGGACAGACATTGTGGAGTACCAACCAGGATGTCCTCATCAGATTGCCCTTGCTTGGGGCACAGAGCCCTCCAGGACCCCCAGTCCCCACATTCCTCTCCACTCTCCCTCTCTCACTTCTCTCTCTCGTTTCTCTCTTTAATGACCCCTTTGGTGTTGGCATCTTTTGCTGGGTTAGGTTCAACGGATTGTTTATCTCATGTAAACAGTGCTAGGAGACGAAAGAAAAGTAATACTTTAGTTATTGGAATGGGTTAGAAATTGGTCATGGGCCGGTCTCAAATGGGAGACAGATTGTTATAGAATGTGAGTTTATTTCTTTTTCCGAGCCACTAATACAAGATCGTCATGATTTTTTCAAACTACTACTACGAGATCGTATGTGGAGAGTTTAAAATATAGTATTGTCGTATAGATTTAATGGCATTGTTTAAGTGATTTAAGACGTCACAATGACAATAAATCTATTAAGTATAAATGTAGGGAAAAGATGTTTTCCTTCAATGTTATTGGCGTAACAATATCGAGACAAATGGAGCAATAGCAAAGTCATATGGATTATAAACAAATTAATTAGTAATTAGCGTGGTCAATAAAGTGTTCATTGTTAAGTTACTGGTCTAAAACTAAAATATAAGAACATGTTTTCAAACTTGACTATACAAGTGGGAGTAAAAGTCATGACCCACATGACACCCACCTTTGTTTTGGTATTTTATACCCGAATTTACACTCTCTTGTCTAATTGAATCTAGCAGTCCAAATAAAGGTGAAAATGATATTATGTTAAATTACACCCATGATTTAAGTGATTCGAAACTTTTTTTGGTCCAAATGAAGATGATGGAATGGACCCAATCAAGGCTAGCCAATGTAAACTATCACCAATTAGGAAGATTTGAGTTGATTGATGTGATCACGAGACAAGGTATATGGACTTAACTGAAACCTGTAAATACAAGCTTCAAGGAAAAGAAAATGATCCCCAATCAAACACACAAACTTATCATTTTATTCTCCTCAATTCCTCTCTAGGAGCAGCGCAATGTAATCCCTAGTCTATCGCTTTTCAATTTCCTTTCAATACAAGTTTTTAATGTACTTTATGTTATTAATTAGTTTATTTTGTGCAAGTTAAATGCAGTTTTCTTTTTAATTTTTAATTTTTTACACACTTTACTTTCCGTCTTGCTTTTGCAATTTCATTTAATTTCAAAGCACTTTTATTTTTACCCACTCACTCTTCATTTAATTTACTTTCTCACAAGTAGATTAATTTTAATTTCATTTATTCTAAATTCTTTTTACTTTTTCGCTCAATCCTTACCTTCACCATTTATCATTATTTTGGTTGTTGCTTCAAAGCCTTGTCTTTGAGGTAAAAAACCGTTCAATCGTTTGATTAGAAGTCAAATCTAAGGTGCAAACGCAATTCACGCTCACATTTTTTCTACATCGGTCAATTTAGTTCACATGGTGACACACACTCACGCATCAAAACAAAGAAAGACTAAATCCTAAAAATAAAAAGGGAAAAAGTTTTGGCATGCCCAGTGGCATACTGTCTATGAGCAACCAATATGGATTGTAATATTCATATCGGTGGATAAACTACGGTGAGTATGGGTTTAGTAGCCA